CCCCAAAACCCCAAAACCCCAAAACCCCAAAACCCCAGATATAGTGAATAAATTGATATTTGGTAGAAAATTAATTTATATACGTTATTGATATAAACATAAAGATAAATAAAAGAAATTAATGTCTTAGATTATATCAACACCCTAACAAATAAATTAACACCCAGTTAACAACTCCTCTTCAAAGCAGCTCTTCTCCTTCTCTAAGGCAGACCGTTTTTCTATGCCAAAGAAGATAATGTAAGTGAATCTTGAATATTTTTCCACGCATTGTTAATGTTTATTATTTTAGGAATCATAAAATCTCTTACGATTTGCCAAGCATGAAATCAAGCAGAGCTGCTGGAATAGGATATGGTGGAAGAGATATATTCAAAACTGGAGGTAAGAGAAATCTATTAAGCTATTTATGTGTTAGTTGATAGTCCATCTCCAACCAATTATAACCATAAGTCTGATTTTAACGCTACAACAGTCTCCAAAGCTTTTAGTTTTGGTATTGCAAGAGAAGCTTACAGCAAAGTGTATATTAAAGAACATCCAATAAGAGATCCAAGTGTTCCAGGACCAGGGTAGTATTAGATCCCAGGCATTGTTGGTAACGAAGCATCAAAGTATACTATGAGACCAAAGACCGTTAGCATGTGTAAGTTAATATCTTGCATATTATTCTCCATTCACTCTCAAGTTATGCTTATAATATTTTAATAGCTGATCTGAATTACAAGGGTTAACCAGGTCCAGGTTCTTATGAACCAAAACCAGCACTGAATGATAAAGGTTATTACTACGTATCGAAATTTAAGAACTCTATGGCAACTAGCATTGATCCCCCTAGTTCAACAAGATTTAGAGAATTTTCTTGTAATTTTCAATCATTCTGATTATTATTAATATAGCGAAGAAATCTGTGCCAGGACCAGGCTAGTATGAATTCAACTAGGGTATGAATTAGCAGGGAAGTTATTTTGTCTCTAAGTTTATGAGCTCAATGTGCAGAACACACTATCATGCAGACAGATCTACTTTGCTTGGACAAAAGTTGTAAACACCAGGCCCAGGTAATTATAGATTACCTAGTGACTTTGGCTACTATGAATCTAAGAAGAAATACGATAGTCAAAGATCAGCTACAGGTAGTCCCGCTAGAAGAATGGCTAGCAGTGCTAGTCAACCTGTGTTAAATAATAACAAAAAAGAAGAACTCTGATTTTTTAGATGAAACGACAAACAAGCCTGAGAATATATGCAGTTAGCATATCTACTTTTTAACAAGATATAGAAAAGCAAATAAATTATTTAACATCTATCATTCGAATTCTTATTAGTCGTATAACTGTATATTAATCCTACTTGGGGTTTTGGGGTTTTGGGGTTTTGGGGTTTTGGGG